TTTGACCGACGGAGTATCAGCGACGGATCAACGACGGAAGGGGCTTTCAGCGACGGATCAGCGAGGGAATTTTCCCTCGCTCATATCCAGCATTTTTGTAGTGATAACTTTTCACATGTGGATTCTAGGATGCGAGTCAGATTGCAGGTAATCAACCTCTTGTTTGAACAAAAATAACGTACAACTTTAAATATCAATCATTACTGTTTTTATTTTTGGATATATTTATACTTTATTATAAAGCATTTGAGACAAACTTTTAAAGATTATTTTTTATGCATCAAATTAGGGGTGACAAAAAATGACTCAACTCATTAACTCAACCCAAACCCAACCCAAAATTAGCAGGTTGGGTTGAGATTTTCAACTCATTTAAATAAATGGGTCAACCCGTCTAACTCATTTAAATAAATGGGTTAGGTTGGGGTTGAATTTTTTGACTTGTTTTCAACCCGTTTTCAACCGGTTTCCAACCCGTTTTCAACCCACTTAAAATATTATATAAATTTATTATATTCTTAATATTATATTTATTATATTAATTTTTTATTTTGTTTCTTCTTAAATAAATTGGCCCAAGTTTCAGTATCACAACTCACGAGTTAAACGACGTTTCGATTTTCAATCCTTCATACAATATCAGTAATTCAATATCATGAGTCTCGCGTCTTCAATGCTTCATTTTCTTCAGTCGATTTTATCAATCTTCGCCCCTTCTTTTGAGTTATACTTTCTCCAATCAAATATTTCGGTTGGTTTCGGTTTTCTACTTGAGGTTTGAGGCGTTGAGGCTTGAGCGATAGGAGAGTCATTCACCATTGCGGAGCTAAAATAAAGGATCTTCCGACTTCCGCTTGTGTTTTGTTGATAGAATCAAACAGTTCCTAACTTGTCATTTAATTTATACATAGTACAAATGAAATCGCATCTTGAGGCACTATATATAGTAATCATGACAGGGAAGATAGAAGATCAAGAAGAAAGTAATACCGAGAGTGAAATTGGGGTTGATGAAAGTGGAAGTCGAGTTACTTAGAATTTAAAAAGTTTCAACTTATTTTGAACAATATATTTGTTGTGCTTGTGTTTTATTCAAACTTTGAACAATTTGGTTGTATTTGTAGTTGTGTTATGTTTTATTCAAAAACTAGTTCTTTTTTTATTTAAAATTTTAAAATTAAATGGGTTAACCTAGGTTCAACCCATTTATTTAACAGGTTGGGTTAAGAAAATCGTAAACAGATCAACCCGCTATCAACCCATTTAAGTAACAGGCTGGGTTGGGTTGGAAAAAATCTCAACCCATTTAATTAAATGGATTGGGTTGGATTGAGATTTTCAACCTGTTTAATAAATGGGTTGAACTCGAATCCAACCCAACCTGACCCATTGCCACCATTACATCAAATGTTGTTTATTGATGTAGTTAAAATTCAATATTACAAGTAAATGATGCATAAATATAATTTTTAAATCCGCGTTTGAATCATATAAGTAACTGATAAATATATCAAATAAGGATAAACATATCGTTTAAAGATTAAGAACCTAAAATATAATTAGAATAATCATTGAGTTCTAACAAAATATTTAATTATTATCTTTATAAAAAACATTACATTATAAAACCTAAAATAAATTACATCGTTATTAATCTTAAATAAAATTATAATAAAAATTGAATTATAAAAATTATATAAAAATAAAATCTTTTAAATTGTTAATTTGATACTAATATTGATATATATATATATATATATATATATACTTGGGATCATGTGCGACCAATGGTTTTTCGTGAGACCCGTAAGACCAATTTTCAACTTTTGGATTAGATTTATAATCTGAAAATCTAAACATTCATAAACGCCACGAGATTTCTCAATAATCACAAAATTGCCACCGTGCAATTTAGACCGTTAGATCATTAACTTATGAAGTTAATCAATGAACATAAATTGGTCTTACAGGTCTCACAAAAAACATTTGGTCTCACATTTAAAATATATATATATTTTAAATTTTTACGTGGGCTTCAAATTTATATTTTATTCATAAAAAAGTATCGTTTTCTCAAAACAAAAACGATATATAAAATGATAAAGACAAATAATAAAATAAAACATTAAAATTAAGATGTATCTCGTTATATTATGTGAATACATTTCTAATCTGTACTATATTATAAAGCATTTGATAAAAACTCTTAAAAACCATTTTTTATGCATGAAATACTGTTTATTGATGCATATTACTTAAAATTAAAAATTACAAGTAATTTTATGTAAGTACAACTTATTAAAGCTCAATTTTTAAATTCGTGTAACTAACTACAGATAAATATAGTCAAATACAAGATAAACATTCATTTTAAATATTAAAAATCTAAAATATAATTAAGATAATTATTGAGTTTTAACAGAATGTTTAATTATCTTTATAAAAAATTATATTATTAAACCAAAAATAAATTACTTTGTTATTAAATCTAAAATTAAATTACAATAAAAAATTGAATTAAATAAGTTACACCAAAAAAACAAAAAATATTAAATAGTTAATTTGATACTAATATCGATCTATTTTCTTTTCAAATTTATATTTCATTTAAAAATAAAAACATTACCGCTTTATCAAAATCACATAAAATTGTATTATATCGATAGAAACAAAGAATAAAAACTAAACATTAAAATCGAAATTTATCTTGCTGAATTATACGAATACCCTTTTAATATAAATAAAAATATGGATGACTATTTTAAGATAAGAAAATACACATACAAATGTCCGCAAGAGAGAGGGACGTTGACAACATCTTAGTTTGGTGGTTATGAGTTTTGGTGCATAAATATGGAGGTAGAAAGTTTTTGCTGTCGTTTTTTCTTTTTTTTTTTCAATTTGAGTAAACTATAAATTTGGTCCTTTGATTTATCGAAAATAATACTTTTCATTCTTATAGTTTTAAAATTACAAAATAGTCCTCGTGGTTTGTAAGATCATAGGGATTTGGATGCTTTCTCAAACGGTCGTTAAAAAATTTCGTTAAGTGAGAGACATTTTCGTCATTTATTGATTTTTTTTTGCTTTTACTTGATCAAAATCGATTTTATGATTTTGTCTCTATTGATTGGGTAAAAGACAAAAATAGATTAAGTGATGAAAATGTACCTTATTTGATGTAATCTCTTAATGGTCGTTAGATAGGGACTAAATCCAGATGTTTCGCAAACCGTGATGGCGATCTTGTAATTTTGAAAATATAAAGATAACAAGGGTTATTTTTGACAAACCATAGGGACTGAATTTGTAGTTAACTCTTTCTTTTTATATCATGGTGTATAATTTTTATTGAAATTTTCTAAAATCTTTCTCACTTTCAACAACTCACTTCTAACCACTGTCTTTCCTTATACAGTTGAAATTTAACAGCGGTGTGCTTTTAAGCCTCGCCCTTATGTTCTCTATGGCAGAGGGTGAAATCTAAACGACGAGAGTTGCGTGAAAACTCGCTTGTGCGATGGCTACATGATGTTTTTGTAACAAATATGATTTTACCCTAAAATCACGTGATATGATCTCTCTTGCAAGTTGACTGTCTTATAGTCTGAACTCGTCTTATACGCTCTCAGT